ATGGCGAACAAGACTCTACAATGCGCAACCACGACGCGATGTCACCAAGCCACACGGCTGGCAGCTTAAAGGTGTGAATGCCGACTATCGGCTGGCTGGTAGAATCGTTGGACATAATAAGCCGATGTCGGCCAGAGGTCAAACAATTGGGGCAGATGACTGGCGCGTCGACAGTGAGATTGAATGATGGCAACGAATAACACCCGGACGAATATTTGCGGAAACTATAAGAATTACGAAGATCAGTCCACAAACTTGCATCAGACCATCTCGGAGCGGCCACCGAAAGACAAAAAAATCTACTTCGATCCCCAAGTACACGGTACTCTCTGTCAAATAAGTGACCAGTCCTGGCGCTTCCGCTGTGTGTCCCCCTCTAGTTACTTCGGTCAAGTCCTTCCATCCTTTCGAAGGACCATATGTGGTCGTGGATGTCCTCCACCACTCCTCTTACCTACTACGCTACAGGACATGCCCTCACAGCCCAGCTTTCAGGGCGCATTTCGATGAACTTAAGCCATGCCGGGGACTCCAACATACGCCCACATTGAATACCACGCCTATCGTTCATCCATATTTACTGCCAATACCGACTGGCAAAAATAAAATAGAGACTGCGCTAACGGCAAACCCTGCGGACAGGGTTCCAACGGAAGAGAAGGGTGTGTAATGGCGGGCAAGGGCGTATTTGGTTGGAAGCCTTAAAGAAACGGACGATTTGTATGGCCGAAATTCCGGCATGTCTTCCGCTTCTTTGCCTTACAGACCAGACTGACGGTCTAAACGCGCGTGAGAAAACGCCTCCGGTGGATATAGTGTCTCCCCCCGGGCTATTATAGCGAAGTATCCAACACTCCATTTTGAACGCCCGTTATCCACTTTTTTGTTGAGAATGTACGTTTTCTACTCTCCTATCATCTATCCAACGATATAAATCGCTTGCATCCCGACAGTTCCACTACTGAGTGCTGCACTAGATTGTGTTACTGAATGAAGGATTAATGACGCTGATACCCAGCGCAATTCAGAGTTAATACACAGTCCAGTCCAAAAGGTATCCCAGAAGGAGGAAAAACCTTGGAGCCCACTATTATAAAGGGGACAGGGCAGGTGAACGTCCTATCTATAACAACATCAGGGGAGAACCGAAGTATTAATTTCCCGTCTACCTAGTAAATAGTGTAAATCAAAAGAAATTGAGGCGGACGGCTTTTGAACGCCTAATTTAGGCAAGCTGCAGGAAACGGGATAGAGAAAAGCGAAAAGACAAGTAGGGGTTAAAAAACATGAAGATAACGTTTTACTAGGCTATAATTAAGATGGAAAAGACAAAATAGAAGTTTGGTTTTTGGATGCCTTTTGGATCTGTTTGCGTCTCTTTGGACATTGGTCCCGAGCCCTTGGATATTAAGAGCGTCTGAAATGGTGAACATCCTTGATCTACCTAGTGAGATTCTTCAGCGAATATGTGATAACTTAACGATTTGCGATGTTTCTGCATTGAACAAAACCTGCAAAACACTCGGTGGTCGTATTAATTCACGTGCGTTTTGGCACCGTCGACTTTTCCGAAAAGCTCCTATGACGTTCCCCTGTATTGCTGGTAAGATAAACTATTTTTATATAGTCTCGCTTTTCAGCATAACTCGCTGACCGCGGTCTATTGTCTTCGTTTTTATGGGAGAGTTTCTTCGATAATTTCATCGCAGTTTCCTCAGCATGCTTACACGTGTACGACCATGTTATAGATTCACACTCCTACCGCCTACAAAAATCAGTCGAATTGGAAGTAGTCAACGATACATGGTTGTTGCTTCAGATGACGTAGCTTCATAGTTTACCTAGACGAGGTGGGACACCTTCCTAGTCTGGGAATTTCTATGGGTTCCCTGATACGTACTCACTGGCAGAAACTGCGTTGTATTTGCATTTAACTCTCTCCCTGAGACAGCAGCGTTATTGCCAACATTCTCCAGTTTGATCTGAAGCAATTAACCATAGCAAAACTCGTTACACACCAGTTAATTCCACCTACGCTGAAGATATTTCTCCTTTTGAATCGAATTCACTATACTGAACCCATTTTTTGCATCATCACAAGACAATTCAATTACATACTGCCCGAAACGTCATAACCAAAATTGTCATATTGAAGGTCGGGAACATCTGTCTGGGTAACCGTGCAGTCCGCTTTTTCGTTACTTACGATGTGCAGCGAAGCCGTTAAGCCGTTATCTCGAGTGCACATTCAAACATAATGCCTTTATTGAAACTACAATATAGTGGGAGGTAATAACGGCTGACAATATGAGGTACACCATCACATGCTGACACGTCGACTTGCAAGGGAACACCAGTTAATTACTTCATGCATTGCCCACCAGTTCATAGTGTATACAAGCAGGAAAACATTTTCTAGTTGTTTTGTATTCAAACCTGTGAACCCATTGTAAGCCACGGAGTCGAAGAGACGCGGAGGGGCACAGATCCTCGTAGCGTCTATAGGATGCGGTCGCTATGTAGCTGCATATATATCTACATACAAAATGATATTATTGACAAAGACGAACAAGACTGGAATGGCCATTTCTGGCTAGTTAGCCGTAATCACTCGGCCGATCCCAACCCCAGGTTCGCACCATCCGGGATTCGTACCCGGGATCCTTGTCCATTGGATCGAACGCTCAACCAATTGAGTCACGATCTCATTGTCCTGTCGATTATAATCGCGAAAGTTGACTACGCAGAGGGCGCTCATCAATCGCGTTACGGAATTCGTTTGTCACGTTGTGTTTTGAGACTCGATCTAGAGCCCCGAAGGCAGTTACAAAGCAACTAGTGGTTTAGATGAACGTGACCGATAGCGCGACCGGTAAGCGCCCTCTACCATAATATATGTGCATATATACCTGTGCACAATGAAGAGATGCTGTCACTATTCGACGATAGCGTAGCGTGTAGGCGCGTTTCCGCGAACCCCACCAGACACGAATTCCATTTATCGATAGAATGCCGAAAGGTCTTCTAGAAACTAATAAAGTGCCAGATGTTGCAAAACCCCAGAGACAATCCGAAACAATCATCACTAAGATCTATGAACAGCCTAAAGTTTAAAACCTGACGTCCCACTGCAATCAATATTATCATTAATCGCTGCACTTAGTTACAAAATTTCTAAGTGACTATTCCATCAGCTTGATCCACTGACGCGGAGTTATGAAACTTCCATTGGGAACTCTATAAAGTTTCTAGATGAATTAAGAGGAATCACAATTTTTGCTGATGAAGTAGTGGCTTTCTTCGGTTTTGTCTCATCGTTTACATTCATTCTAGCAAGAAAACGCGAGACGGGCTCGTATAGTCCTATGAAACAGACGTTTCCGCAGTTGCCTTTCTTGAGCACACAGAACTTTGTTTAGAAACCAATTTTTCGTTCAACCAACAGCACTATCAACAAATAGAGAGAAATCTGAAAGAGCCACCTTTATCTGATTTTCTTGCCGAGGTGACAATGCAGAAACCAGAATCAACTGTTCTTCTATTAGCCTACCCTAAGTTGCGACTGCGATACGTAGACGACACATTTGTCATCTTCAAAAGGGGCAAACTGGAAATGCTCCACAACATCATCAACTCAACCGTTCCGGGAATTAAACTTACACTCGAGAAAGAAGTTGAAAATAAGCTCCAATTTATCGATGTTCTCGTACAGCGAAAGACCGATAGAACATTACACACACCCGCTTACTGCAAGAAACATGTGCGGAAGTCATTGTACATTATTAGAACAACAACCCAGTCTCACAAAAGCGGGGTGCTGTCAATAGTTTGTCTCATCGAGCAGAGACATATTGTTCTGGCCGAAAAAACTACCAAGTCGAGCTAAATCATCTGGTTAGATTATCTTCCCAAAATGGTTTGTTTAGAGATTTTGTACGTCGACGCATAAGACGACATGGATCATAAGACAGAGAACCAGATAGGTCCAATCGGACGCTCAAAGCAAATGCTTTCGTACATTAAGAATATCTGGGCTCTTTGAGAGACACTTGGGCAAACAGTAAATGCAAGTGTCGCACAAACCCATGACCACTGTACACATTCAGCTTGTACAGTCTAATGATAGGGTTGCCTATATTGATAAGGAGTCTACAAGATCCCATGTGATCCTATATATTGTGGCCAATCGGGAGCATCCATCTCTACACGCATCCACGAGCACATACCGGCCTTCATTCAGCCAGTCATAACCCTGACCACCAGCTTGAACCGGGAACACAAACATGCGCCCACACAGAGCCGGCGCAGCTCGTCCACCAGTGCGGTCTGCCAGATTGGTCATAAGCACTCCGCGTAACCGAAGTCCATCAGTGCCTCGCCACCTGTCATTCTGTCGCTGCAGATCGCGTATTTATTTACTGAGGAATGGGCGCACACCGGCCAACATGAATTTTTTTTGCCCCGAAAGCCAACGGATCGGTGTGCACCAATTAAGTGAATAAATCTCCAATCTTCAGCGACAGAGAATGGTAGGTGGTGAGGCACCGATGAAATTCGGCTCTATAAAGTGCTTATATCTCATCTGGTAAACCCCAGTGATGGACCAGCTGCGCCAGCTCTCTGTGTGTGCATGTTTGTGTTTCCAGTCTCAGCTGGTGGTCAGGGTTGTGCATGACTGAAGCGAGGAAGACAAGCCAGAAACAGTTCTGTATCAATCGTCTCCTTTCTGCTATCATAACTTGGCCGACTTCAGCCTGATAGGTGGTTGTCTGTTCGCGTCCACTGTCGCCCATACAAAGGTTGTTTGCTTCGTAAAGCCAGTGAGATCGGTGTGTGCCTATTACCGAGGGATTATAAGTGTATATATATTCATTTAATATATGCAGAAGGGGACTTCTGGGTACCCCGCCATTATTTGCGCCTGGTCATTCAGAAAGACCGAGTTTTTTTGGAGGCCATTCGTCCGAATGACTCATGCATTAATAAACTTACCGAGTTAGATGCCGCGTAACAAAACCTCAAGAAGAAGTGGACGAGATGGCAGTCAATTCAAACTGGATGGCGACCATTGGTACAAACGACAGACAGGTATCAATAATTTTGGTACTTTCGAAATTCATTTTTTGCACATTTGCTGCCCACTATGGCGCTACACCCTTTCATCTTCCTGATTTAGGTAAAAAAGTGGATTGGATGAAGTCTTGTGTAATACGAGAACGTATCATGGATTGGTTTCTCGAAGAGCCTGAGAATTGCACAAAGGTCTCATGCTTTCACAATCCAGGCATGTGCATTGATGCTCTTCACTTTCTTCAGGTAACTGGGTATTTCGTGAACCTCGAAAAGTCCCTGTAGCCGGATTGCAACCTTTTAGCCGCTGGTGACCGTGGAGGCACCCTCTCCCTGTTTGCCCTAACCGACCTTCTGAAGGACAGTACATCTCACCCGATTCTTTCGAATGGGCACACCCACAAGGTCAGATTGAAAATCGTAGCGGTCATACAACCGGTACCTTCAATATTATTCTAAATACCCTTTCTTCCATTGACGGAATATGGTTTAGCATATTCGAATTTGTGTATCAAATCCTACATGAGCTAATTGCCCCTGTAATAGTTGTCCTATCTCGTGTCTATCTTAGGGTTGGATATGGTCGATAACTTCAGAAGCTGACCTAATAGCATCAACTTCGTGGGATGGAAAACTGCGACTCTGGGCCTACGGCGGGACAATGCAATCACCCCTCACCGAATTCAAGTAAGTGCCTTGATGCCTCTACCTCTATTCACGCTCATAAGTGCTATCTACTCATGTAGCTTAAGTAGGCATATTTTATTAGCTCTGTGTATCATTTTGTAGACTGGGTTCTGCAGTCTTGTGTTCCGAATTCCTGGACACAAACCTGATTGCAGCAACTGCTTTCCATGGACCGGTCACCGTTTACGATGTGCGTGCACCTCCAACAGAAATTGCCCTGTCCAGCAACTACCACAAAAGTGCTGTCCTCACTCTCAAGTCCTTTCATTCCCTCTCTAACGAATCAACTCAGGACCAGTTTCTTCCAACACTTTCCGAGCGCTCAGACGATGCTGACGATGATGACGACTTTAGTCTGTCTGATTCCATCAGCCTTGTTGACATTCAGTCTGCTGCCCAGGCCGGCCCAATCGCTGATCAGGGAGATGAATTAGACGCCGAAGCCAACTCTGAGCTACTAGATTTATCGCCATCGGGTGATGGAGTCCCTTCCGTACAGGGTCAGCAAGAACAGGAGCAAGAGCAACAACAGGCAGTCGTCTCCAAAGATGTTACTTTTTTCACCGGAAGCCAGGACCGCCTTCTTGGGGCCTGGGACATCCGCAACTTCCAGACCCCACTGTGCAAACGCAAGGTACATCAGCCGCTATCGTGTTTCTCTCAATCTTGTCTCCTAGACAGCATGACTTGAGAGACTGTTGGTGGGCTGGGCGAGATCAGTCATGCTCCTAGTGAGCGAACTCATCTTGGTTGTAAACAGCGCTCATTTCTGAAGCGGCATGCAGTTCCATAAGCGGCCTGGGCCGGCTGGAGCCATTTTCCACTACAGCAGCCATGAGCCATGGTAGGATTCGCTAACCATCTTGAATGCCAAATGATCCCGTCGAGAGACACACCGCTTGGGCTCTCATGGAGCAAAGACTGGACAATTTCCACTAAATAAATGCTGATTCACGCGATATGCTTTGCCAATGTCGTGGTGACGGGCGAAACATCATATAAGAGCGAGTTTACCTTTCCATGTACGGGGCCTGCGTTCTTGTGAAGTATAGCTCCCAGGAAATGGGTAACTAGCGTATGTGCGCTCCGCGTAAACAAACACTCTCATACCATGTCAGCAACTACGTCCAGTCCCATCATCAGGCAGCGCGCTCCGTACTTGTCAGTGCTATGGAAGCGGGTAGAGAAAAGTGGGATTGACACGGGAACAAGTGCCCCCTGAAATATATTCATATAGAGTACCTACTTAATGGTTTTAAGTAGGCGCGTAAGATCACAAATCTGGGGTGCCTGCGCAAACGCTTTTACGCGTGGCTAATAGAGAGCCGACTGAAGATGAAGAAAATCAGTCGAAATGGTAAGATAAGGCGTAAGCAGAACCTACATGCCTTACCATTTGGGGTATGACGCTGCTAACCGGATTGATGGTAGGAAATAAAAGAAGGGCGAATGTCTGCCACACTGGCGACGACATGACAGTTCAACCGTGAGGTCCAACTATGTCCACCGTGTGCTCCGCAGCAAGGTGAGAGCATACACGGTGACTTGTACGTGGATTAGTTTATGACGACAGAAGACCTGCGCAACATCTGCTACACTCCTTCCTCCTCTCAACCATCAGAACCTGTGGCGGTCAGGGATGTGAGATCAACTTAAACCACGCACAATGTCTGTGTCAGTAGGTGGGGGGTGACTGGCTGAGTGCTGGTCATGAGACTGGATGGGCGGGGGGGGGGGTTGCGCATAATCACAGGGGCTCACGGGTATCAAGCCAGGTCGTCCGACGCGCGTGGGGGATAATAGTTTGTGAGGGCAGCCGGGAGTCACTGCGGCTGGACAGGAGGGGCCCCAATTCCAGCCAGTGTGGGTGGTCGTGTGTCAGCGGCCTGTCAACGCTTGTCGCGGCCACCGACCGACAGAACGGAGCCGGAGAAAAGGGGAACTGGCACGGCTGCTACAGTCTCACAGTTTCGAGCATGTAACAAATGGAAAGGTCTGGAAGACCGCTTCTGGCTGGCCAAGTATAGAGCCCCGGTCTTTTAGTTTTGAGACTGGAGTATACCTGACTGAGGACGATGGATAAGCCAGAAACGTCTGTTTTTGTCTCTTATTTCTTCGTCGTTTGTATTTCTCGATATTGTAGCATCACCCCTTCTCACAACTCTCCTTCTACTCTGTCCGTATTCCTCTCATCCCCCATTTCTGCCGAACAACAGTTTCGTGGCTTTCCGAGGGCAATCTCCCTGCTGGACTCTGAGGAGATGTGGGTGGCTGAGGTGCCTAATCGTTTGCACGTCTGCAGCATCGGACAACGGGAGCCGGAGGTGCTGCGGCCCGGGGGGAAGACCAGGAAAATCCCCTTCCTTGGCGATGTGAACGTAAGTCACCTGCTTGTCCTTGCGCTGCTCTCAGTTCGGATTGCAAAAGGCCCCGGTTGCTGTTTTGCTGCATCATCTGAGGGAAGCTCTGCTCATACGCTGGCGCCCCACGCGGCCGTAGTGTTTATCAGTGTCCCTCTGTCTTAATCGGGTATGCTAATGAGGTTTCTTGGTGGATTTTGAGTACAAGCAAATCCCCAGCCGTCGCTCAGATTGTTTGTTTGAGATTGTCTCCTCAACCGTAAGGCGATGCTGGAAAGCGAACTGATTTAATTGCTGTGCACGGTTGTCACGTCACTGTGCTGTCATCGGGCTTTGCGGCGCCGACGTGCCAGACCTTAGCCCTCCACGCCCTGGTAGCATTATCGCTGCTGGTCCCCATCTACTTGCCCGCTAAATCTGAAAGCCTGCTCATTTCGCAGGCAGATTTTGCTGTAGGACAGTTTCACTATCCGCCACCTGTGGATGCGATGAGTAACCAGCAGTTAGGCGGTCAGATGTGGTTACGTAGCCCCACCTGAAGTCAACAAACCCCAGCCACCTCTAATACGGGACCGGTAGTAATAGGGGGTTCTTAGAGGTGGGCCGGGGAACGCACAGACTACGAGGTCAAGTAATTGCATGCAAAAGAAAAGCTTTTTGGAATGCGTGGTTGTACTTTGAGCGATTGAGAAATAGTTTCCCTAACCCCTAACCATAACCCATAATCCACAACCACAACTCCTAACCCCAACCCCAACAGTATTGTGTCCGTCAGATGAGGCTACATAATCTGGCTCGACACAGCTCGTCAAGACATGGAGGTGGTTCTTGGACCTTCGGTATTTTGTGTCATCGTTGGTGAAAAGAATGGGTTAAACTGTCCAGGTCTACTGCTGTGGATCGTCACGCGTGGAGAGGTTCAGTTCGGGACATCATCGAGACCGGCTAGATCAGGCATGATCGCAACCGTGCCAAGTACAAGTCCACACCTATCACCTTCCTCGTTTGCTAAAATAAACCATACGTACTTTCATGCAAGTGTGATGGGCAGTGGCGCAAAAAATATTCGAAAATTTTAAAAAAGTTCTTAAAAGCGGAAAGAATCTCTTTTCCGATAACGAATTTGAAGACGGCGTGATTTGCTACCAAACGAATACAAGAGGGAATATTTTTGTGGGTGTTTTTAACACAATGTATTTGAATTTATTAGGGCATTGGAAATCAATGACAACAATTAGTACGGCCGAAGTTGTCTTTTCTAGGGTTAACATTTCGCGAGATAGCACATATACTGTAGGCACCACCTATGTAGTATGGTTAGATGCTCGTTGTTGCTTTGTTTTAAACGCCCCTAGCCTATTTTTGATTTTTCAGGTTCTTTTCTTTTCAATCATACGGTAGATGACCTGACTCGTGAAAGGCGTCGAAATTTACGAATAATTGCCAATCACTCGCAAACCGACACCAATTCATGGATCCGATATCTATGTTAATTAAGTACAATTTCGAAAGAAGTAAAAACATGAAATACTAAAGGCAGTGTTGTGTTACACCGAAATGTTGCTTTTTTTAGAAAAGCACAAAATCTCGAAAACTTCAAAAATGGCTTCATTTTAGTAAACTTTGTTTTTAGATGTAAAGAATTTCTTCTCATACAAAAACCAAGTAACTGTGGAAGTACACATAAAATAACGTTTAAAAGCAGTGCTTTAGTGAATGTTACATCTAAATATCCCTTAAGAATTAGTGCAATTTCATTTATGGCGGTTTTTCAACAGCCCAAATTCTGAGTATTGATTCCAAAACAGTTTTCCAGGGAATTCGTGGTATTCTTAACTCGTTTGAGTTTACTGAGATGCGGTTTAACAAGAGGAACGGGAGTATGTTTGATGTCATCAATGGGGACATCGTAGGAGCAAAATTTTTCATCAGGTCACATGCTACCAGGCCGATCGATGACTGATAAATTTGAATAGACTTGACAGGCGTGATCGTAAAAATACCGTTTCGTGTTTATCAAGAACACTTTTCTTTCCCTAAGCTAACTTACACTTTACGTTCGTTTTAGATTACATCGGCCCTGAAATATTGGTGAATACTTTGTGATTTTCAGCGTTTCCCCCCATCGCACATAAAGACAGATTCCGTATTATGAATCTGTTAAAAACTTTAAAATAAGTTACTTTTTGAAGGCATTTACTGAAGTAGCGAGTGCTTATGCGTTCTTTTTCATAAGGGGTGTCGTTTGGATCACATTTAAACCATGAAACATCATTTTCGACTATAGTGGCCGTCGACAACGATAGTCAGCGGCGAATATGCCCTCCATCAATTAGAAAACTTCTATAGGTTACCTCATTAAGGAGTGCTTTAGTACTGCACTTCCCCGTGTACTTCGCATTTTTGCATGGTGAGGCCAAGAAGAATTCGGCACTTTTGGCCGTTTCTTCCATGGTCCTCAACAATACTAATATTTTTCTACCATAAACCTAAGAACATGTCTTATATGTTCAAAACTGGAAATGACCGTTTGGTGGTGGTCATTTCTGTGACAACAAGTAGAATTTTCTAAATGGTGAAACAATTTCGGCCCAGTTAGAAGAAGGATTCCCTGTGTGCGTTTTTAATGCACTTCAGGGTACCAAATCGCACAGAAAGGCTAATATGACTTCTAAAAATCGATAAAGCATCTGGTTTTCTTAAAATAACCATTATGTAAACAAGTTAATCACCACGGTTAGCATTGGTCAAAAAATAAATTTTCAAGTCCGGCAACCTCCGTTTATTAAAACTCTCGCGAGTAAATTACTCTCATTTCAATGAAAAACGCACTCAGATGCGCAACCGAAGTCTAGGACAGGTATTAGCGTGGGAAAGTGCACGAATATGTCGCAGCGTCAATTTCCGCTAAAATTTATGAACATTTTGCTCAGTATAGTTCCGTGAACACAATTTCTGCTCCAGAGAAGGACGTTTCACTGAAGTGGCAGGATGGGCAAGTAAAATGCACAACGTGTAGGACGTCCAGAAATTCTCGCATCCGTTCCCGTTATCAGGTTGCATGAGATAGGTCGCGTGCTATGTCTTAAAGCTGAATCTGATGTCGGTTTTGTCCTTGAATTTCCCTTTCTTATAACTTCCGACCTTGGGATTTCACGCGGACAATTTCCACGAGGAATTTTCCCAGATATCTAGCCGTGATCGCAATTAGAAGGTGCATTCCAGATACGTCATCAGCCACTATTGGACCTCCCCCCACCCCCACCAAACAGGCGACGCTGTTGCTCTGTTTATAAATGCCTCCCCGTACTTAGGTAATGACTCTCCTCAAAAACCAAGGATGTACTGTCGATTCAGGCGCCTGCTTGACTAAAAACATTGGTTCCACATCTTGATATCGGAGCGGAGGAAACTGTAGCTTTTAGCAGCATTTCTGCAATTGCAGCTTTCGCTAAAGTCTCTAAACCGCCCTCGCCGTCACCCTCCCCTACCTCCCCCCGTTTTTAGGTCTTTGGAATGCCCGAACGCTGGAAGGGATTTGGAAATCTTCAGGTCACCCCGGGCGCGGTCTTCCTTACCGGTCTGCCTGGTGATTTGGCGGTTCTTCACCCAACGATACCTCCACTGCCCATGACCTCGACACCCGTCCACTCGGAAATCGGAGTCCCACCCGTATGCGTAAGTCCGTTGACGCAGCAAAACCGTACTACAACTACTACTGCTACTACTACTACTACTACTACTACTACTACTACTACTACTACTACTACTACTATTACTACTACTACTACCACCACCACCACCACCACCACCACCACCACCACCACCACCACTACGGGCATTACTACGACTGCTATTACGACTACTACTGCTGCTGCTGCCGCTGCGGCTACACCTGCTACTGGTGCCTTTGCGATTGTCTGTGAGGGCACTGAATTGTGTGCGAAGGCTTCGTGGCGCGAGCATGTCTCGTAACCCAACCGGTGAAAAAAATCTAACATGTCGAGCGTTTGACCCTCACTGTTTTGGTTAGAATCTCGATCCCATTCTGTCTGCCCGCCAGCTAGCTACTGACACCACGTTTGTTGTTGGCCGGTTTCCCTCGTCTTCTGAAAGAGGAAACTGTGGTTTTTCTGTTGTGCGGAGCTATAAGCCATAGCCAACTTGACTTCCTGATGAGCCGAACCCCTCGCAGCTGTGGCATGCAGCAGCATTTAACAGCTGTTGCCGACTTGGTACCCGAGCCCGAGAGCTAGGCTTCGACAGCCGGTGACTAGTTCTGCGAAGTCTGGTTTGTTGAGAGGAAGGTGACAGAAATTTTATCTGCCGCTTTTTTGCTCTCACAGTCGCACCCCCATCGCCCTGGACGAATGCAGGATCTGCCAATTTTAACAGTTTTGTGGTGGCATAGCAACTGTGTCCTAGGCATAGAGCGATCCCTGTGCATCCGCTGGCCCTATCTATCGTTGTGTCTTGTTCCCGTCATTGAGTCTTCTTCCTCTCGAACGCTTCCTGGGTCTCCGCTTTTCGCTTGATTGATTCGTATCAGTTGCGAGAGCGGCACGCTTGTCGTACGCAGATATCCAAGTTCCAAATAAGGAGACCTGGCGGAGTTTTTGGACTGGTACAACGAAGAGCCACAGAACAAGCAACCACTGTAGGGGATATTTGATGAGCCAACAGTCAGTCTAATTACACAGGCCAGACTAAACACATGCGCGGATACACGAACGCAAGTTGGTAGCGTGATGGAGTAATGAATTATCACAAGTGACTACCCACACACACATTCGGAATGGATAACCAGCTTAATTTCGCAGCGACTGAGATAATTGCTCAAGTCGGAAGCGAAACCAGCGGGTAGTTTATCAAAGCCTTAGTAGTTACCGCATACGGTGCCGAGACTTTGTCTGGGCCTGGGTTATTCACCGCGAGGGGAGCACTTTGTTCTGTGAAAATATCGGTGAACCAAATGGCCGAGCCATTATCACATAGATAATTGACACTAGTGATAGAGTTGGGACAATGGTAGAAAGTCGTTAACTGATCGTGCCGCGGAACTCATTAATCCCGTTGAGCTTTAGGGCTCTCTCTCGAGCCTCGCCAGCTGCCTCACAGCGGCGCGTTTCGGATTCTCACTCATCATCAAAGACCGTTGTAAGAAAAGGTAGTAGATAGATATTGGGCGCAGCGACCCGGCAGTCGCATGCCTAAAGTAATTTGCAGCCCTTACGTTCATCGGTGGGCGTCGTATTTAATGCTATGATTGCTTGTTGGCCCGCTCCCAAGTCCTTAAAAGCTGTTATTTTACCACCGTTGTTGACACGCCATGAATCAATAACAATGATGAAATCACGGCCATTGAAGACTCGGAGCAATCATCACATCGAATACGACGCTCAGAGATGTACGCGAGTGCTGCTTACTAATGTGGGCATGTGGTTACCGGGCAACTACGCACCATGTTCGAGTGAGAATCCGAAGCGTCAGGCCAGTAAAGTTCTTGTTCCAACGGTCGCATCTTCTTATTCCCAACTACTCCCTGGAACTCTCTTATTCGCCCCCCCTATGGACAATGCGTAGAGGTGTTGTGAGATAGAAGAGAACCAGTCAAGGGGACAGGAGCAATTACTAGGACCGGTAATGACAGACATAAGCCGAGGCACATAGAGTGCATCGTTCACGGTATTTGGTTGATCCAAATATTGAGATCCGAGTACGAGACCGGAACTGCAGACGGATAAAATTCTAGTTCCGGCCACATAGTCTGCTTCCTCTCAAATACTTCCTCCGGCTCGAAAAGTTTGGTTAGTGTCGGTTGAGGGAGTAGGCTGGTGTCATGCGGAGTATTTGGTAAGAGGGCGTTCGATGCTGTGCAAGATTCCCTCGTTTTGATCAAATTAACTCATAAGTCACCCCTTCTTCCCTGATTACTGCTGACCCATGTTTAGCATAATAAATTAACCATCCAATGGAGGCTCGAATCAGTGTGTGGATCTGTTATCCTTCTCCGGTTCTGCGCGCGAATTGGCAACATTCTCAAACAGGGGAGTGCGTCTCTCCTTCTGCCCACGATTCTGATTTTTTCTACAGAGAAGTTTTATTTCCGTTTTTCCCGGAAACGGTTGAATGGTGGAGGGGGGGGAGGGGAGGGGGGGTTTGCCTTCTCGATCTGACCAGGCCGTGCCACCTGGGACGATAACAATGATTATGAAGTTGCTTGCCTGTTAAACCTCCAACTGTTGTACACTTCCTCCTTGCTGGACTACTTTTGTTACATTATAAAACCGTGGATGTTGAGCTGAGCTGTCTGCTCCGAGCAGACAATAGCCTGGACAGGATCCTACAGGAAAGAAGGTGGGGGTTGGCTTGTGACGCAAAATTCTCCAGTTGCACGGCCTTGATATTGCCCCGGCAAATGTTGACTGTCCGTTAATTAGAGAGGACTTGTGGGTACATGCGGTGAGTGACCGAAGTTGTGAAATCCGGTTTTGACTAGGAAGGATTGCTTAGGCGGGGTCGTAAAATTGACCATCATACAACATAATCCTGCAGCATTTTGGACTCACTAGGATGGTGGCTTTTGAATGCACTTCTTTTCGACCTCCTGCAGAAATCACACTCAGTAAAAATTATTACTTAAGTGGTATGCATTTTTTCATTGATTTTCGATGCCCTTAAAGATTTAATTATATTTCATCTGAAACATGCAAAAAGCATTAATTCTTTTGCTCATTCAGTAGGAAATTAAGTCTTCTAATTTTACACTCGAAGGAAGGGTATAATTTGGTTTTATAAAACTTTTCCAATTCCCGAATAATTTTAAACCCCGACCTGCCGTAACACTTGCATTCAGAGTTCCCAAACTACAGGCTTTGTATTTTCCGCGTACGGAAAACCATACATTTCTCTACGGTAATGAAGGCGGACCATTAGGGTGCAAAAAATTACGCAGTGAATTTGAGCCGCATTGTTAACTGTACAGGCCACATTGGTAAATGCAGAGACATGACGCTTTACGAACGGCCATTTCACGGTATTAAAAAAATCTTACAATTAGAAACTTTTTTAAAGACTGTATTTCACCCTTCATTCGAGTGGAAAACTGAAAGAAGACGTAATTTTCTACTGAATGTGCAAAAGAATGAATATTTTTATGCATGTTTTCCATAAAACATAATTCAATCTTTAAGGGCATCGAAATCGATGAAAAAATGAATACTACTTAAGTAGCCATTTTTTGCGAAATGTGCTTTTTGGGTGCAGCCGAAAAAAAGTTTGTTCGAAAGCCGCCTTCATTACCGTAGAGAAATGTACGGTTTTCGTGCGCGGAAATTATACGACTTGTAGTTTGGGAAGCCTGAATGCAAGTGTAACGGCAGGCTGGATTCAAAATTATTCGGGAATTGGGAAAGTTTTATGAAACCAAATTATACCCTTCATTCGAGTGCAAAACTGAAATAAGACGTAATTTGCTACTAACTGAGCAAAGGAATTAATGCTTTTTGCATGTTTTCCATGAAATATAATTAAATCTTTAAGGGCATCGAAAATCAATGAAAAAATGCATACTATTTAAGTAGCCATTTTTACGGACTGTGGTTTGTAGATGCAGCCGAAAAGAAGTTTGTTCTAAAGCCGGCGTCCTGGGGTAACTGAATTATTATAGAATTATGCTGCACGATGATTGGTTTTACAACCCTACTTAATTAATATTTTCAAAACGGAAACGCATTCCAGAATTTCTGTTGACATTTCATGAGTTAGCCCACCTACTGTAGCGCACTCTCTCCCCCTCCCCCACCTGGGCCGCCTCCTCCTCCTCCTCCTCCTCCTCCTCCTCCTCCTCCTCCTCATCCTCATCCTCATCCTTATCCTCATCCTCTTCCTTATCCTCATTCTCATCATCCTCCTCCTCCTCCTCCTCCTCCTGCTCCTCTTACCCCCCATCGCTGCCATTATTCTGCCACACGCTTTCTGTTTGAGTCCACTACTCTACGCTCCACTTTCTCCTACCCCTAGCTCGCCTACCGGAACGAAGTCCTTGTGGTGGGTCACGGAAATGGCTCAATGCGACTTTGGATGTCCAAGGATAGGGCAGATGCCCTCTTGCTCAAGTCCACGGTTTCGCTCGTTTAGCTGACTGAGCCGGCTCGATTCTCTCATTTCCACTGCCACCATCTCCGTCATTACCAACACCGCCTGCTGCATTTGTTTACTTGTTTTATTTTTTTCTGTCTACTTTTTGAATGCGCTAGTTTTCGTTTCTTTATTATGTTTTTGGGTTTTTAAATGCAAATCGTCCAAAAAAACATGAATTTCACCCGGTTTCGGGTACTCGAACATTGGCTTCTGACTCACACGGACGTTTCCAGGGGATGGAGACTGTAAGGCGGTCCACATATGACTCAGACCGTCAGTCGGTAATGCGGCTGTCAGAGTCGACCACGGAGTGTTGTGACCCTCCGTACCGACGTGTACGCGGATGTACTCATGGGACTCAGCCCCCCGCCCCCCAAATGAACTGTGGTGTTCGACTGGCTCACGGGGCGTGTACATTCGGCTGCGCAGGATTCGCACAGGCTCTGGGCTTCTGCCATGCTTGATGGGGCGGTTTTAGGGCGCGTCCAGACGCGGACCTTTACGCCGCGTCAGCCATCTCACCCAATCCAATCACTTACTGGTTGTCAGGCTCGTATTGTCGACTTCTGCCTGGGAAAGGGAAGGATAAGTGGGGGAAGTTTGCCAACTAGTTAACCGACTCCGTCCTCAGGACTGCGAGTTAGGTTACAGTGTCTCACTAATGCGGCCGTGATGGCACTCCCACTGCTGAGAGTCCGGTGCACGTTGTGAGCACCAGGTCGTGTGTGTGGCGCGCGTAGACGTGCTGTTTAGTCTTGTCAGGCAGTGTGTCCCTACCCGCGCCGGGTCGCCCTGACATTGTCTGGCTACCTGATCGGGGTGGCGGGTAGGAGGCGGGAGAGTGTGGTGGATGCTGCGCAAGCCTCCCTTAATGCAGACCGGCGGATGCACAAAACCCGGTGCAGCGCCTACAGTGAGTGACCGATCTCATGAAATGTTGGCTGAAATTCTGAAATGCGCTTTCGATTAGGAAGGATTAGTTGTCGCGGTTGTAATATTGATTATCTTGCGGCATACTCTTATAACATTTCGGACTCGGCAGGATGTCGGCTTTTAAATGCACTTCTTTTTAATCTCCTGTGGAAAGCGTTCTCGGTGAAAAATGCCTACTTAAGTAGTATGCATTTTTCCCATTGATTTTCGATGGTCTTGGAAATTCAAACATATTTTATAGAAACCATAAACAAAAATATGCTTTCTTTTAGTCAATCAATAGAGAATCACGTCTTCTTTATATTTCATACTTAAGGAAGGAGTATAATTAGGTTTTAAAAAAGTTTTCTAATTGCCGAACAATTTGGAGTCTGATCATCCGTTGCATTAGCGCTTAGTGATTTCAGTCTACAAGGTGCATGCGTTCCGCGTAAAGAAAATAACACATTTTCCTATGCCATTAAAGAGATATCATACAGGGTCCATAAAAGTTTGCAATGGATGCGGATTATGTTGTACATTTCTTGAGGTGCAGTGGTAAACGGTCAGGTACGATGCTATGTGAATGGACATTTCGCGGGCTTAAAAAGTCTCATAATTAGAAACTTTTGTAAAACCTAATTATACTTCTTCCTTAAGTATAAAATATAAAGAAGACGTGATTCCCTATTGGTCGACTAAAAGAAAGCATATATTTGTTTATAGTTTCTATAAAATATATTTGAATTTGCAAGACAATCGAAAATCATTGGGAAAAATGCATGCTACTTAAGTAGTCATTTTTCACCGAGCACGCTTTCTACAGGAGATTGAAAAGAAGTGCATTTAAAAGCCGACATCCTGCCGAGTCCGAAATGTTATAAAAGTATGCCTTAAAATAATCAGTCTTACAACCGCGACCAAGTAATCCTTCCTAATCGAAAACGCATTTCAGAATTTCAGCCAACATTTCATGAGATCGGTCACTCACTGTACCTCGTGATGGGCATCGTCGTTTGCGACAGTCAAATTGTCCCGTGCAGAGGTGTGCGAAGATTCCGCTTCTAGCCCTAGACGCATGTTGGCCCATGCGGGCGAGTTGATGTGTTGGTGAGAAGAGGAACACAGTCACTGCAGGTGGTAGGGGTCTGGGTGGAGATGCAACAGGTGCGGGACTGGCGATGCAGAGGTAACGATGCACACAAGTAGTCGTGCGGACACTCGGGTTTTGCATCTGCTGCGTTGGGCGTCCCGCCACCCTATGTTTGGGCCCCGGACCCAGCTAGCTCAGTCTGCTTTGCCGGGTTCTGTGAGAAACAGTCAGCATCGGACGATTGCGTGAAGAGGGGGACCGCGGTGTCGTTGGGGGGACGCTATGGCAATATGAGCCCTGAGTAGGCGCGGGCTTGAATGCTGGTGGCGTTCGTTGCTCACTAGCGCGGTCGTCTCACCTATCTGTTTTCAGCTGGCTCCGAGATGGGAGCCCCGGCCCTCATCTCCGGCTTAGTAGCCCTTTTGTGAAAGTTCTTCGCTTGGTGTATGTGCTTGCAGTGTCGCGGGAGCCCTGCTCCTCACGTTAACTGAGTTTGTGGCGGGCATTCGGGGCTTCGTGGCCCCTTTTCGGAAGGTTTTCCTTTGGCGAGCCTTTAGCAAACTCACTGGAGAGGTCATAACAACTGCTGCTGATTCAACCCCCGCACGATATGACCGCTGCTTCGAGTTCGGATCTGTTTAAGGACCTGCGAGGGCGCTTAGCGTGCTAGTTAGCTGCAGGACCTGCCTGTCGACGGGAGGGGAGGGGGTGGATTCTTGCCACTCCACTCATTGGGTCACAGTCTCGGTTCGGGCTGCTGGTTGGTCATTCACAACACGGATTTTCATATGCTCTCATGTCCGACGTCGCCCGCGTCTTTAGGTTCAATGGTGGTGATAGAAGTTGAGTCAGTTTGCTACCAAGGAGCAATTTGTTGTGCGTAGTAGTGCATTTCCGCTGCGTGGCAGCTTCAAAGCCCGTGAAAGCGGCATTTCGACCATCGAATACTACGGTGTTCGTTGTATGTCTCCACAGCGCTGTTGTGCACGGAACTTCGACCTCCGGCTGACTTAGTCTAAAATGCGCAGTACCTGTCTCACTTTCTCCTCCCTCATCTGAGCCTACTGGCAATAAAGGGGCAGGACGATCGGAGACGAATTCAGACTGACGAGGCTAGACAGTCCGTCTATGCGTGCCGCGCGCGACCTTGTCTCGGCATAGTGGGCCGGGTTTTAAAAAAATTGGTGGCGACTAAGGTCCCATCTGAGTGGAGGTGCCATAGCATTACGTTCAGAGGGAACGACTGAGTCTGGCTCTTCATCTTGAGTGGGCCGGGTTATACCGTCAGCTAGCCACGACTTTTAGCGCGTTGTAGTGTATTTCGGCATCTCAGGTTTATTAAAATGAAGAATAAGCTGAATTGCAGTGGAAATAGATTCTGCGGTGCTGAGCTCACTCGCTCTTCCCTCTCCCATGCATACGTCCGCTTTCTGGGTCGGCTAGCCATCTGGCGCTGTGAGTGGGGCTTGGGCCCGTGCCTAGGCGTGTCACGACAGCTCCCATGTGCAGCATTTGTTATGGACTGCGCAGCCTGGTTAGCATACACCGTGCCCCAACCTGGCTCCTGTGCTGCTCAATAGCTTTTCCCTCGTGACCTGTTGCGGGTGCTTTTTTGTCCATCCAACATAGAAGACGCTGGGATATTGGTTTCAGATGTTGAATCTTCGAGCTCCTCCGAAGCAGCACTGCCTCTCCGAACTACAGCTTCTCTGTTTTTCACAAGCCTCCCAACTGATCTGGCAAACAGTATCCTGTATGCTGAGTAGTTTCGACCGCACGACACGGAAATGTGGACTCCCGTATCATAGGTGACCTTGCGCCTAATTCCAGGGGGTTAGGGTTGGTGGGAGCGTCAGGATAAGGGTCGGGATGACTAGCACTATGGTTAGGCTGAGAGTGGTCAGGTGTAGTATTAGTATCGAAGTCCGGACACGGGAATACTTATCCCTCCCCTCAGAAGTTAGCGTAAGGTCACCTGTAGTATCGAGGCCGTCCATATTCCGACGTCTAGGACTTGTGAATATTTTCCAAGCCGTAGTGACCGTTCAGACGCCTTCCGTATGCTCGCTAGGCATCTCATTTCAGATGTAACGGTTGAGGGCAGACCGACTTGAGGACGAACTCACGTGTTATCCAACTTGTGTCTACTGCTTAACGTTTACTTTGCGTGCGATAAGAGACCGGTTAATTATATTTGTGAGCCAACAGTTTTCTGATATTTTACTGCCGACGACGCCACAGCTCTTTCTTACTGTGACCGTTACCGCATTGTCAATTATGCGAGTGCTGAGATCGACCCATCTGAAGTCTATATACCAACACGCACGGAGGACGTTTAAACAGAACTTTCACTCTGTTTAAGACCAAATTCAGTTGCCGCGACTTCATTTTGCCATAAAAAAGCTGTTGGCGCAGAAAGGAGAGAGAGAGAGAGAGAGAGAGAGAGAGAGAAGCAAGTGCTGCGACAGTCCGCCCAACTGCACACTCAGTTCCAACGCAAGTTACCCCGACGTATCCCAGGGCGACTGGGGTTTCCAAAATTTACGATTAAATAAATCGCCATATGAAAAACAACAAGATATTAGTCCTCTTGACTTTCATCAAATGCGTGTTTCGAATCTGCGGACGGGTGAATTTCGCGGTAAATTTTGATAAGCAGTCATTTACCTACCTTAATTTTTAATTCAGAACAGTAAACTGAAAAACTGAATGAGTTCGTTGCATGGAACCACCTTGGGGGTGTCTTTGCTCGAGTTAAAGTGCAAAAAGAATATTTTATGCGCCCTGATTGATGCTGCATCATCCCCTACCAATAATTGGTCGAAATGTACAAATGATTGCTAATCACCCGCAAATCGACACCACTGTATGGACCCAATATCTATGTTAATAAATACCAACTTTAGGAGGATCTAAAAAGGTAGAAGATATGTTAAAGTAATGCTACCTCCTTTAGAAACAACAAAGGTTTTTAGAAAAGCGGAAAATTCCG